ACTCTACTCCCCAGGGTCAGGTCTTTTAGGAATGAGGGCTTTGCTATCTCCTGGATTGTAAATCTTGGTGCAAATGAAGATGTAGTAAAAGCTACATCCTAAAGGCTGACTGGGTGGGACTGAGAAAGAATGGTGTTTGAGTGGGTGAGAGAATTGCCCTTGGTACAATGAGGCTGTGTTGAAGAAGGGGGTCCTAGCATTGGGTTCTTGTTTCAGGACTACCTTCACCTCATTTTGGCATGTTATAGACAAACATTGCCCCTCTGAGAGGGCCCCTGCCACCCAGACAAATCCTCTCCTTCTTTATATAGATAAGGAGACTGAAGGTTGGAGTTCCTTGGGGAATTAGGGCAAAACTACAAAGAAACAAGGATGGCAGTAGGTTTTTTCCTTTCAAAGGTTCAGATAAGGCATTATGTAGAAATAGGAAGCTGGACATAGTAGACTATCAAGTACTCTTACTTCTTCTCTACGCCTCACCCAGGGTTCTTGTAGTTCTTTTCCTGCGATTTTCCTACTGTTCTCCTACCTACTTCCCAGCCACAACAATGTGGACATCAGAATGGGGATATAAGGACCAGGATCTGGCAGGGGTAGGGGGCAGGGAAAGAAAGCCTTTAGCGGATATTAAAAATACTTTCATTTTCCCACAGTTGGTCTGAGGAGGGAGCTAGAGTCTTAGGGAAGGCATTGTCTGGTGTGGGACTTCAAGCACACAGGACTATAAACTCAAGCACACAGATTACGAAGAGGTCCAAGAGATGTGACTGATCTATGGTATCTAGGGAAGAGGTGCCAGTACCAACAATCAACACTCTTGGAACCAACAGTTAGGAGATCAGAAGATGCCTTGCATTGGGCAAGTCACTGTCCAGGATCTCTCCAAAATACTGAAGAGCAATGATGTCAGTTTGAAGACTAAGGTGCAACTGGTTCAAGCCATGGTCTTTTCAATAATTTGTTATGCATCTGAGAGCTGGACAATGAATAAAAATGACAGAAAAATAGTTAATGTCGCTGAGTTGTAGTGTTGGACAAGAGGAATGAATTTACCATGAACTGCCAAAAGAACAGATATGTCTTGGGGAAAGTGCAGCCATAGTGCTCTCTGGAGGCCAGGATGGTGAAGCTTTGTCTCCCATACTTTGGACGTGTTGTCTGGAGAGGCTATTCCTTGGAGGACAGCTCAGCAAAAGAGTAGACAACCCTCAATGAGACAGACTGACATAGTGACAGCAGCAGTGGGCTCACATGTGTCATAGATGAGGACAGTACAGGATAGGACAGGGTTCAGCTCTGTTGTTCAAAGAATCACTCAGCTGAATTTGACTCAATGACTCAATTGCACCTAACCACAACAACAGGTAGTAAGGTGAGGTTCTTCTGCCCCAAACCTGTTTCCTCTGAGTGAATTCCAACTCATGGAGACCCCATTACACACCCAAATGCTCTATAGGGTTTGACTGTAATCTTTAGGGAAGCAGATTGACAAGACTTTTCTTGTACGGCAACCGTGAGTGGGTTCAGACAGCCACTCTTTAAAATTAAGAGTCCAGAGCAAACCATTTGCACGACCCATGGACCTTCAGGACTCCCTAAGATGGTCTCTAATACAAAGGTAGGGAGCGCTGGTGGCTTAGTAGTAAGGAGTTGTGCTGCCAACACAAAGGCAAGTGGTTTGAACCCACTATCTGCTCTGCAGGAGAAAGATGGACAGTCTCCTCCCATGTGATATACTGCCTCTGAAAACCTACTGGGGAGTCAGCTATGGGTCTGTTCTGACTAGACAGTACATAACAACAATATGAGACAGATTTTTTCCCCAGGTTGGTAAGGCAAATGGACGACTGTTTCTTCCAGTATCTGCTCTGCCTCAGATGAAGGAAGGGGTGGGGGAGGCTGGGATGCTTTCTGAATCTAGAAGCTAGAGAGAGGTGATGCTCCGTAGAACTCTTTGCTATTCTGGATAGAGATTGCCTTTAGGCAAAGTGAGGACCTCATTTAAGGAGAGAATTGAAAGGAGAGTAAAGCGGACAGATCCGCATCGCCCCTGGGTGTAGTTTTTTGCAGCATGCCCAGTGTGGTCCAGGAAGAGGTGTGCAGATCCCCAGCACAGGAGGAAAGGCCTGGCCTGAGGAAGGCGGCTGCTGGGCCACCTTTCCACCAGCAGAGGGCGATGTGGCAAATATGAAGATCAGGCTGCTGCCTAGCCAGAATCAGCACCGAGATTTGGACCTCCGCACGGGTCTAAACAGGGCAGTGCCGAACCGTGACATACGAGGAGCATTATACCTGGGATCCTCTCCTTCCTCAACACTTCAGAGCCCCTCTGGCCTACTACGAGGGGGCGCCGGGAAGAAGGGCAGGAGCTCCGGATTCAACCATCTTTTATTGAGAAGATATTACTCCCTGGGCACATACTAACTGCTTCAACAAACACTATTCCTCTCTGAAACCTTCTTCAGATGCAAGCTGCAACATGCTCACCAAGACTTCCGCTCTGCTCCTCAGCTTCCCTTCTCTCTACACTCCCCTTGTTCACTCCATCTCTTAGTTTTCCAGTCTTGGGGCTTGTGGAGTGTTTGCCCAAAGAGGAAGCTTGCTGGAAGACGTCTGCCCACCCACCCACTGCCGGGATCCTGTTGCTTCCGATCCACAGGGCTGAGTAAACTGCCCATAGGTTTCCAAGGCCGCCCATCTGCCACGTCCGTTCTCCTGCCCAGCGGCTGGTCTGCACTGGAATGCTTTTGACTACTGTGCCACCCCAAAAGAACATAAAACTGCCCGGAAACAAGCCGCGCCCTGGTGCTTGGGACCAGGATGGCTCATCTCGCTTTCTCTTTGAACCCAGTTTCACTTCCGGATTCCCCTGACATCCTGGTTCTCCTCCTGCTTTGCACGATGCTGGGACACGAGCCTTGGAGGGTGCCATTGAGGTGGTGAAGTCAGCAGCACCAGAAACCTCTCCAGGAGCTTGCTATGAACCATTTATAGCAGGAGAGGAGGAGCAATATTTTCTTCAGTGGATGAAATAGAACTAGGGGTCTCACTCCACCTTGTGCTGAGGACAGCTATTCTGGCCTAAGCTCCCCTCTGGCACCCCCTCCCCAGCTCAGGCTCTACTGCCAGTCCCCTCCCTACAGTCCGCCTACCTGCTCAGGGATTCAGAATATCTTCCTGGTCACGTGAACACATACACTGATATTTCCAAATGCCAACTTTTCCAGTATTTAGAGTCATCAGGTTTTGTTGAGGCTCAACAGCTCTGTGGGGCTTGGATCAGGGGCCTGTGGGGATCAGGAAACTGGATGCTGGAAGCTTACTGGCCAGAGCTGAGCCTGGGATACCTGGAGGAAGCTGTCACTCTGCCCCAGGGCTGTGAAGGGGAAGCCACAGAAAGGGAGGGGAGAGAACTGGCTTACTGGTGAGAAAGCTGCCTGAGCCCCAGTGAGGTCACCAGCATGGGCTAAAGCAAGAATAGGAGCTCCTAGACTCAGATTAAAAAGTTCTCAGCAAAGCCACATACGAAGGCAGATGTGTCAGGGGCTAAGGCACAAAGGTAGATTGGATTGATGAATTAAGCTCTAATATTGGCTGAAAGAATTGAAGAATTGATGCCTTCAACTTGTGGTGCTGGAAAAGAGTCCTTGAACATACCATGTACAGCCAAGAAAACAAATAAGTCTATCTTGGAGAGGGTGAAACCAAGTTTCTCCTTGGAGGCTAGGATTTGGAAGCTCTGTCTCACATACTTTGGGCACAGGGCCAAGAGGGACTGGACTGGTCCTTGGGGAAGGACATCATGCTTGGAAGGGTGGAGGGACAGCACAGGAGAGGAAGACCCCGGATGAGATGGACTGATAAAGTAACAGGGGCAATGGGGGTAGGTGTGTCAGCATCAGTGAGACTGGCTCAGGACAGAGCAGGATTCAGAGCTGCTGTACACAGGGTGACTCAGTGGCACATAACAATAATAGCATTGGCTGAAATTAAACAAAAAACCCCTAGAGCTGAAGAACCCCAAAGGCTATTAGAATCAAATCTATGAAGATACAGTTGAAGAAAAACAAAGGCCCTTGTCACAGAAGCAGGGAGGCAGCACCTGAACCTTGGTCTCCTGACTCCTGGGAAGCCTTCCCTTGGTCATGCTTGGCCTGGAAGTCCTCTTGTTCTGAAAGCCCTGGGTTCTTATCTATCTGACATGCCACCTCTCTACTGGCTGAAGATACAGTTGAAGAAAAACAAAGGCCCTTGTCACAGAAGCAGGGAGGCAGCACCTGAACCTTGGTCTCCTGACTCCTGGGAAGCCTTCCCTTGGTCATGCTTGGCCTGGAAGTCCTCTTGTTCTGAAAGCCCTGGGTTCTTATCTATCTGACATGCCACCTCTCTACTGGCTGATGACTCTGCCACACCCTCAGCACACTCTCTTGGGTTTTAATGTCCTAATAAATCTGCTAAGATGAGGGAGGAGGGATCCAGGGTCAGTTCCCCGCCCCCGCCCCCCAGACAGCTGACACTCAGGTATCATGGGGCTGAGAGAGAAACTGATGGACTCTAGGTATCTGGAGCTTGTGCCAGAGGCAAGGGCCTGGCAGGGCAGGGCATCTGCTAAAGGCTGGACAGAGCCCTGTGTCATGCTGGCAGCTCTGGTGAGGCAGTGGGGTTGACCAAGGTCAGGGGGTAAGTTCCAAGTCCAGGCTTGGGCTCAGGACTGGGATTCCATGGCAAGGCCAGCTTGGCTCTGAGTCTCTTTGCATCCTGTTCTTTAAGTGGTAGGGGGTGCACCCTGTTGGTGTGAGGACTGGGGAGGGGCCAGACGTCAGGGAGCCTGCAACTCTAAGCAGGCCAGACAGCAGGGGATCAGGTTTCAGTCCAGCTGTATTTTTGGCTGGATGGGCTGGGGGTGAGCAGGCTTGCAGGCGCAGCTGCCGCATAGAGGGCCATCCCCTCCCCAGTACGAATGTCATGCCATGTCTACCCAACAAAGGCTGCCTTCACACCTCCCTGCAGGTAGAAGGGGGCCACGCTCTAAAACTAGTGAATCACTTTGGGATTCTCCGGACTGTTGCTGAGTTTCTGTAGTGTCTTCTTGATCCGCAGGGCAGTGAGGCGAGCAGAAGGGTTGGGGTACCAACACTCCCGCATCATCTGAGCCAATCCTGAGAGGACCTGGGGGTTGAGAGAGACAGGAGGGAGGAAGCAGGGGATGTGGAAAGAAGAATGTGAGGAGAGTGGCCCAGTGGCAAAAGGGGAGAGGAAAGAATGGACAAGGAGAGACAGATGACAATGTTGAAAAGGAGGGTGAGAGAAAAGAGGAGAAAGGAAGAATGAAAAATGGAGGAGGGGAGTGGAGCAAGTAGGGAGATAGAGCAAGGCAAGAGAGAGAAAAGGTTACAACTTAAACCTTGAGGGTACCAGGACCCCACTGTCTTCAAAACACCTTATCTTCACCCCTCAAGAGCCATAGAAAAGAGGAGGTCTGCAAGCCATGAGGCTTCAACATCCCCATCCACAGCTTGAGACCCCAGTGCAGGGGGACACAGCACCACCACCAACCATGGTTGGGCTCAGGGGACTTTGGGGAAAGATGGTGGGTAGGCACTGCCCCCAAAACATAATTGTCCAGGAGGGATCTCATCCCAGGGCCCAGACTGAGCAAACCCCACCTTTGCCTTAGAACTCCAGTCGATCCTGAAAGAAAGTATCTCTGTGTGTGTGCATGTTGTTGTTACGTATCATTGTCAGACTGACTTGCAGCTCCCCCTCCAACGAGCGGGTTTTCAGTGAATCACACAGAAGGAACTGCCCATCTTTCTCCTGAGGAACAGCTGGTGAATTTGAACCACATGCCTATGGATTGGCAGTGCAACAATTAGGCCGCCAGAGGGATGCATATGTGTGACTTCTTTGTCAATGTGTATGTGTATAAATGTCCTTATTTGTATATACATGTATACATGCATTCATTCATCCAATAAATGTTTATTAAGTACCCATCATGTGTCAGGCACTGTGAGAAGTACTAGGGATACAGAAGTGAGCAAGAGATGTGCTCTCTGCCTTCGTGGGGCTACTGAGCTGGCAGCCACGTGCACACGTACATGTCTGCAAGTGGATATTTACGCAGAAACATAAGCACACTGGCATGTGTATAGACATGTACATGCATATGTGTTTCCATCTAAGTATGGAGGAAAGACATCAACCAAAACAAAAATACCACAACAGAATATTGCAGAGAAAGAAATACAACCAGGAAAAAGGTTCTGAAAATTCCTGGACAACCAGAGGGTTCTTTGGGGGTTCACGGGCCAAGGACGCTTGTGAGAAAAAAGGAGTGGGCACTCAGGGATGTACCTCCCAAAAGGTCACCTGGAATCTATCCAAAGTGAAGCAGATGACTCAGACTCAAGTACCTGGGCCCAGAAATTCCACCTCTGAGCTTCCACAACACACCAGCCCAGTCCCAGCTGAGGCCTTACCGGGTCTGCAGCCAGCCGGTTGGGGATGGTGGGGGTCTGCTGGTCAATACACACCACCTTCTTCATGTCCTCAAAGCTGGGGTCATTGGGCACTGCGTCATAGAAGGGTGGTCTGTAGTCTTCCACAATGCCTGGAGATGGAGCGGGGTCAGGACAGCCACTCAGGACCCCAGGAAGGCCCCACCCCACCTAGAGGAGAGCTTCCATCCATCCCAGGAGCCAGGAAACCAGCTGCCTGCCCATGGATCCTGGGATGCTGTGCTTATGAAAGACAGTCCCGAGAAGGACGCTGTAATATAATGAATCATTTCAGACTCTGATTGCTGTCAAGACGGAGCTGACTCATAGCTCGCCAGCAGGTTTTGGGAGGCCATAAATTGCACTGGAGGGGACTGCCCATCTTTCTCACACACAGCTGCTAGTGGATCTGAACCACTAAAGAGGAGCTGCCTTTGGGTTAGCCGCGCAACTCTTTACAGACTATTCCACCAGAGCTCCCAATGGATAATTACGTTTATAAATGATGATTACTGCCATTTATTCTGCATTAACCATGTGCCAGGCATGGTGCTAAACCCATTACATACATTATACTGTCACTCTGCATGTAAGTCTAAGAGGTGAATACATACTATTATTATGCCCTTTTTACAGGTGAAAAAAAATGATGCATAGAGAAGTTGAGCAATTTGCTCAAGTATACGCAGTTATGAATAGCAAAATCAAGACATAAGGCCATCTCATTTGACTGCTAAGTGTTATCTGGCTCCAGTTTCCCCATAGCTGCCTCTTATTCAGGTAACGGATTATAAGATACAGAGCTCATGGCCGAGTGGGTAAGAAGTTACGATGCCAACCCAAAGGCAGGTGGTTAAAATCCACCAGCAGCTGCTCTGGAAAAAGATGGGCCATCTCCTCCCTTGCATCTACAACCTCTGAAAATCTGCTGGAGGGTCAGCTCTGAGTCAGTTCCAACTCAATGGCACAAAGCAACAGCAATAGTGTTTACTGAACATTTACTTAGATCAGGCATTGTCTTAAGCGCTTTGCATTAAATTCTCACAACCACCTCACCAAATATGAGGTAAATACTATTACCCCACCCACCCTCTGTCATCAAGTGGTCCTGACTCATGGGGACTCTCCATTGACTGTAAACCTTTACATAGAGACTCTGCTTATAGTTCTCCTGCAGATCTGTTGGTGGGTTCAAACTGTCGACCTTCTGGTTAACAGCCTCTTACTCACTAGGCCACCAGGGCTTCAATAGTATTATTTGTGCTGCTTTGAAGCAAAGGAATTAAAACCAGAGAATTTCAACACAGGTAGAAAATGACAGAGCTGAGATTTAAGCTCAGAAAGTCTCTTGGCCTCCAAGCTATATTTAAAGGAAGGCTGATTACTAGTTTCAATGAAGATGTTATACAAGGTGAGGAGGAGGAAACACATCCCCTAAGAGAAGGGGATTTTTTACCTCTGTCCAAATGACAGGGATGACACAGCCACCCCTGACCCCCTCAGCTGGCAGGGCTCCCTCCCCACATTCTCCCAAGTGCATACTCCCTAGCAGATGATTTCGGAAGATGATTCCAGTGAGCCATAGACAGCTCGGGGGAAGAGGTCAGACCTGAAGTCTAACACGTCCAGTGGCCTGGCCTGAGGTTGGGGGCCACAGGCCACAACCTCAGCAGAGCCTGCACCAGCTGTTCTCACCATGGCGGGCTTCCAGCAGCCCCTGTGCAGCTCCCGCCCTAATCAGTGCTGCGCAGAGGCCTGAGCGTGTCTAATGAGCCTTTAATCAGCGCCGGGGTTGACACCAGATTACAGTGTTTATAATGCACCATGAATCTGTACGGGGTTGACAGCATTTCCCCCTCCGCCCCAAGGGCCTGCAGTGAGCCTCTCTTTCAGCTCTAGCCAGTCTAGTCTTCCTTTCCTGCCTGCAGCCTGGAGCAAGGGCCCCCAGCTTCTTCCAGATGCACTCTGTTACTCTGGGGGCTCACTCCTGACGGAGCAGGGATCTGAGCCCGTATGAGTCACCCAGGAGGATTGATTATACCTATACTGTTCCTCCACTGTCAAAGGCCACCTTGAGGGCACATGCAGCCCCATATGGACTGGGTTTTGGTAGTGCACCACCAACCTCAAGGCAGGTGGTTCAAATACACCCTCTGCTCTGCGGAAAAAAGGATGGGCAATCTTCTCCCGTGAGATTTACAGCCTCTCGAAATCCACTTAGGAGTAAGCTATGCGGTGGTTCTGACTCAATAGGCATATAACAAACAAAAACAACAGGAACATGAGTAAGAATGTGTTTCTTTGAGGGGCAGCCAACAATCAGGGCACAAATTAGATACAGATGATTGTCCCCCAGCCTTTCAGGGCTCCTGGCAGCCCCTCACCATTGACAGGCTCCATAGAGGCTGACAACCTTCCCCACCCATTCACTCCAAAGTTGAGAAGGCACGGACCCCTGACACCCTGCCCAGGCTAACAGTTCCTGCTGTCGGAGTCCTTGGTGGCAGTATTAATGAGGCCACAATATGCAGACAGTGCAGACACACTGCTCACTAATGTAGAAGAAAGCAGAGACCAAAGAGGTTTTACTGGACACAGGGAGAAAGAGACTGCCTGATCTCCCCTTCAACACTGCTTCCACCCAGCTGTAATTCTGTGCCTCAGTCTTTGTGTCTATAAAAAACAGGGATAGTATTGGATCAAGGGCTCATTCTATTCTAACAACAGCCACTGAGTGCTCTAAGTAATTTTACTTGGCATTATAGATTGAATAGTGTTTTTCTCTACCCAAACTGTGTGTTGTAAATGCTAATTACTTGCATCTGAGAACTGGACAAAGACTAAGGATGACAGAAGAAGACTTGATGCCTTTGAGTTGTAGTGCTGGAGAAGAGTCTTGAACATACCATGGACCACCAAGAAAACAAATAAGTCTGTCTTGGAGAGAGTGAAACCAAGTTTCTCCTTGGAGGCTGGGATTTTGAAGCTCTGTTTCACATACTTTAGGAACTTGGCCAGGAGGGACTAGTATGGAGGAGGAAATCATGTTTGGAATGCTAGAGGGACAGTGCAGGAGAGAAGACTGCGGATGAGGAGTATCGACAAGGTAACTGGGGTGATCAGGGTAGGTGTGTTGGAATCAGTGTGACTGGCTTGGGACAGGGCAGGCTTCCGAGCTGCTGTATATAGGGTCACTATGAGTTTCAGGCGACTTGAAGGCACATAACAACAAACCTAAGTATATAATCCTATTCGAAAATAGCTTGTACTATGTTAACGAAACCCTTCTACTGCAAAGGGAGCTCTGGTGGCCTAGTGATAAGAAGCTGTGTCACAATCCTGAAAATTCAAATTCACCAGTTACTCCTCAGGAGAGGGATAGTCAATAACTTCCCCAGTGATTAACTGCCTCTGAAAACTCGCTGGAGGGTCAGTTCCAACTTAATGGCACACAGCACCACCACAATAAAGAGAACTTTAGTGGCACAGTCCACAGGGAGTTGCACTGCTAACCCGAAGGCCATGCCATGCCTCTCTGGCGGTTCAAATCCCCCAGTGGTTTCAAGGGAGAAAGATCTCCTCCCATGCTATTTATAGACTCAGAAACCCACTGGAGGATTAGCTGAGTCAGTTCCAGCTGGATAGTAATGAATGTGAGTATCACTTTTGAGATCAGATTAAGCATAAAAGAAAGGAGAAGCACGGATGGGAGGAGACAGAAGCCACAATACTTGAAGACTGTCCAGAAACAAAGAGGAACAGAAGCTGAAAAAGAGACAAGGACCTTCCCCAAAATCTGACAGAAAAAGCCCGTCCCTCGAGCTGGTGCCCTGAACTGGAACTTCTGGTCTCCTCTCATGCTGTGAGATAGTGTATTTTCTGTTTGTTAAAGCTATCCTCTGGGGGAGCTCTGGTGGCCTAGTGGCAAGAAGCTGCACTGCAATCCCAGAGGAACACGGTTCCAATCCACCAGATGCTCTGCCGGAGAAGGAGGCGCAATATCCTCCTGTACCAGTCAGATCTAATTTGACGGTACACGCACACAAAATTAAAAAAAAAAAAGCTATCCTCTTAACGATATTTCTAATACAGCAGTAGTAAGAAACTAAGACACTTGGACTATCTCATCTAAATCTCTCAACACTAGAAGCTATCTGTACTCTCATATTAGAAATAAGGAAACTGAGGCACAGTGATGTTATTTTGCCACAATTAGTGGTAAAATTAGGAGTTGAACCTCTGCAGTCTGACTGAGCACATGCTCTTAATCAAGAAGTGACAGCATCTCCCTGCCAACTCATGAGCACTAAATAAGCTGAACCATGTAGGGTAGATAGCCTGGCATCTGGCACATATTTAAATTCAATAAATGTTAGCTACTATTAATATTTCAGTTATTATCACTTCCCAAGATTTCACAGCCAGACTCACAGACTCAGATGAACTTTAAAAGGTCACTCAGTTGAACCAGCCGGTGAATGGCAGGGAAAGGGTGCTGAGAGGTCTGGCCATAAGCCCCTCAGACCGCAGCACGTGTCATGACCAGAAGCCCTCTGTCCTGCCTGCCTGCTGGCCACCTGCCCCCATTCCCTACCCTCCACGGGACGCAGGGTGGACCTCACCATTGACAATGGTCCGACGGGTGATCTCCCACAGCACCAGGCCAAAGGCCCAGATGTCAGTCCACTTGTACGATTCGAAGCAGTCGGTGCGGATCTGCTCATCCAGCACCTCGGGTGCCATGTACCGCTTGGTGCCCACTCTTGGGTTGTTGCCAATGTCCAGGTAGTCACTACCCTGGGAATGCATCACAGCCAGGCCTGTGGGTACCAAGGATACGGTCACTAATCACTGAAGCCCACAGACAGGGTGGCACCCTGGGAATTGAGGTCCCTGGGGCAAGGAGAGACGGAGAGACAGTGGAGTATAGAGGGACAGGCCAGTGGAGACGCGCCCTGAGATGGCCTGGGAGACATCAGCCATGGGAAGAACTGTTCCAGGTCCCCTTCACTTCTGTAGCATTCTAGTTCCCCAAGAGCCCAGACACATGTACAAGGCAGGCATTACTGTGCCCATTTCACAGAACAGAACCCCCAAGCCTGGTGTAGGGGAGCAGTAAAGTAGTCGATGAAGGCAGGATGGCAGGTGATAACCCAGGTTTCTGGCTCTCTACTTCTCTGTCCCAGCTGCTTGCAACCAGGGGAATGTCATGGAAGGAATCTGAGGGTGATATGGGGGTTATGGCAATTAGTGGGGCTGAGCTTCAAAGTGCCTCAAAATTAGTAAAATCGTCAATGTGCACCCGATAGTCACAGAGCCAGAGCACCAAAGAAGTGGTAAAAAACAGAACAATGGAGAGAGTGAGCCCTGTGCACTCGCGAGGGACTGGCCTGCACCTGCCCTGTCCTATGAAGGGCCCAAAATCCACTCCTCCCTACAGGACCCCTTCCTACGCCACCTTACTCACCCAGGTCCGCGATGCAGCACTGTAAATTGCTCTTGACCAGCACATTGCGGCTCTTCAGGTCGCGATGGGCTATAGCCGGTTTGCCCTGCGTGCCGAAGATCTCCACGTGCAGATGAGCCAGTCCACAGGCTGCAGACATGGCCAACTTCAGAGCCAGCTGAGGCTCCAGCGTCTGCCTCTGCAGAAAGTCGTAGAGCGAGCCATGCTCGTGGTAATGCGTGATGAGCCACAGCTGCGTGCTCGAGTTGCGAGAGGTCATGTCCGAGGCAATGAAGCCTGTGGAAGAAGGGATGGGTGGTTCGGCTGGGAGGAAGGTTGCAGTCATGCAGAAGATGGACTGGGCCTGGGGGCAGGGCAGAGGTATTAGAGGGTACTAGAGGGTCAGGGAAAACTAGGTTTGGGGTGGAGGCCATTCCAGCTTAAGTTAGAGACAAAGCTAGCAACAGGTGGGCTGGAAGTCATCTTTGGTCAGATGACTCGCTGCTTGCCTAGGATGTTGTCATGTCTGAGCAGCACTGTGTTGTAGATCTCTGTCTCTCGGAACCAGGACTGCTCATCCCTGGAGGAGAAGATCTTGACAGCCACACTCTCACCATGCCACAGGCCCCGCCACACCTCACCATAGCGGCCCTTTCCTGTTGGAACGGCCAGAGAGGAGGGAGAAGGTCACACACTGGCATATGGACCCCCAGTGCAAAGAAACCCCTGTGAAAGCCCCGATCTTGATGCTGTGCTGGCCCACCTGCACAGACTCTGACACTTAGATGGTAACTCAGTATAGACCCAAACCCAGCCAGCAAACCACCATCACCTTAACTGCCTCTTGTTCCACTCTGTCCCTGCAGGAAGACCTTGTCCTGGCCCACCTCCAACCGCTCCTGCCATGTAGAATTCCCTTAATAGACCCGTCTTGGCTCAGCCCATGACCCTAGAAACCAAGTCCCTCCAGGCTCATGGGAGCCTGTGGGCCCCAACCTGAGGCTCACACACTGCTCACCTACGCACTCCACTAGGGCGACTTGCCGTGCCACTGTCCTCTGCACCAGGAAGGGCAGCCCCGAGCCACTGCCTGTGGTGCAGTCACTGTCCAGCAGGTCCTGGAGATGTCGAGAGGCCATTGAGAGGCTATTCCCACATCCTTCTGGCCCTCCCCCATCCTCAATGTGAGTCCCACTGCTGGGAACCTCCTCTCCCCAGACCACTCTAACCTCTGCCCGCCCCTACTCCACCAGCTCCTGCCACTCAGACCACCTCTGGTGTTGGGGATCACGCCTTTCCTTCTCTGATTCTGTGGTTCCTGTCTCCCCCTTTTCCATCCTTTGTCCTAGGTTCCCCAGGCCCATACCCCGAGCATGCTGTCCCCCTGCTCAGACGTCTTCAGGATGATGCTGGACTCGCCCAGCTCGCTGTGCAGAACCCAATGCTTCTTTTCCCTCTTCCGGAAGTGCCACAGGCCCAGGGCACCCAGGCCCAGCAGGGCGAGCAGGGTCAGGACTGAGCCGAGGACCAGAGGCAGCTGACTGTCTACCCGCGGCTCCTCTGGAGGAGTTCGAGTGACTGAGAGAAAGGGACACTGAGGCTCAGCTCCTAGCCACGCCAGCTCCCCCCACCATGTCCCCTCTGCAGGTCATCCCCCCAGGGTTCCCCCTCCACCACCTTCCTGGCTGAGCATGAGAGGAAAGCAGGGCAGAGAGGGCAGGATCCATGCATCTAGGGAGAGGCACATACCCTGCAGCTCCAAGGACATGTTTTGATTGCAGAAGGAACTGTAGCAGCAGTGGTGGTGGAGGAACTCGGTGGGGCGCCCCCAGCAGAGCTCCTCATGCAGTCTCCCACAGCCCCGGAGCTGCTCAGGGGGGCCGCCCTCCTGCCTCAACAGCACAACAGTGCACCAGACTCCCTGGCAGGTGGGGCCCCTGCAGTGTGGGTTCTCGCAGGTACAGTTTATCAGCTGCTCCCAGGAGGTTCTCACAGGGTCACCTGGGAGACACATAGCAGCCCATCAATGCTGGGCCAGATTCTCTAAGGCTGAGCCCAACACCTGCCCCACCTTTCTGACACTGCAAACCAACCCTTTAGTTCTAGCTCTGTCTTCAGATTATCCTTCTCTCCAAGCCGAATCCCAGCCGCTACTGTGCTGTGCGAACCAGGCTTCCTTCTCCCTGATTCCAAGGAAGCCCTTCCCTCCTAGTCACCAGGCCCAGTGTTAAGTTGAGCACATCAGAGGGGATCATAAGGCTGGTGCAGGATGGCACCTAACAACAACTGCTCACCTAAATAAATGTCAGCATCCTGAAGACTTACAGAGCATGAGTCTTCAGGTTTAGCAAAAGAGGGCAGCAAAAGAGGGTTAGACTAGCTGAGCTCTGAATCCACTATTCCCCTTAACTTCTCAAATTTAGCCCCAGCAATTGCTGTTGTCCATCCAGGGCCCAGTACTCACCCTGGGTGAGGCCCAGAGCCATCAGCAGCATCAGAAGGCCCCTCCTGGGGGCGCCCAAGGCCATGGTGTCTGGGGAGAGGAGCAGGGGGAGAGCTGTGAAATGTGATCCCCACAATGTTTTTAGCCACTGACCCTGGGTCCCTCCCACCCAGAGGAAATCACTGTAAGGTTTTCTATGTGCAGGGTGGCTGGGAGGTCTCCTCCCTGCTCTCAGCTTCTGTCTTTGGGGTGGGGCCTGTAGGGGAAGTCCTGGTTCACTTCCCCATGGAAACCATCCTGTTAGGGTAAAGGGTGAGGAGTTACGTTTAAGTCCTCAGTGCTTAGGGGAACCAACTCAGCACCCCAACTGATAAACCCAGACTAGTGGTGGGCAGGGAAGCATCAGGGAGCGTTTCAGACTGGCAGCACCCCCTGTCAGCCCCACTGTGTCCTCTTGCCTCTGGCCCACCCTCTCCCCTGCCCATCCCTTTCCCTGTACCACCCCCTCACCCCAGCCTGGCCTGACTGCTTCAAATATAAACAGGCTCTTGTCTTCACTTCCTGCCATTCAGGGTCCCGCCAAGCTGGGAACAGGAATCAAGATTGTTTAGATTGAGTCTGGATAGAACATGCAAGAGTCACGTAAAGCAAAGAGTAAGGGCATAGTCTCGGGGCAGACTGGAGACTTCTACAGATCTCAAGAGCCACTTGGGATTAAGATAATTCCATGGAAGAATGCTAGGAGGACACTGTGAAAACCCAAATCCAACTCCTTTTAGAGAAGGAGGGACCAAGGCTCAGGCAGAGGAGACAACTGTCCCTGTCAACACAGCAGTGAGGGGCAACAGCAGGAATCTACGTGCCTGGACTCCCAGTCCAGGGCTCCTTCCACATTGTCACTAAGCTTTCAGAAGGTTGTAGCAACCACATAAAAATAGGACCATCCGCTGCCAGGCCTAAGATGCCCTCGCTGCACTGTGGCTGGTGCTTCCATCTCCCTCCCTGCAGTCCTGGGGTAGGGTAGGGGCAGGGCTGTGTGAGAAAGAAAGTGAAACACACTGAGATTCTTACTGACAGTTCCACCTCCCATGGCTCGCTAGTGTTGAACTTTTCCAGAAGTTTATGGGGAGGGGTTCAGTGCTAAGGTCTTAGTTAACCCAGGTCCCAAATCAAAGGTCGTCTGACTCTTCATTTCTCAGAACGGAGAACAGAAGACAAAGGCCTCGGCTGCAGCAAGAGGGACTGGGTGAGATGGGAGCAAGGACTTTCTGAATGGAAAGTATGCTGGTGCATGTGTGGTGGCAGGGTCCTCAGGAGAGGGCAGCCAAGCTAAGAGAGGTGAAGCATCCTTTGGCATGATGTGGTGAGGCTGGAAGGGCCAGGCACATGACCATGTTGGCTGTGGAAGAACCAGGATGGGGTGCAAAGATGCTGAGGCTCTGGAGGCAGGATGGCCCAGGAGAGGGGCTTCCTGGGCCTCCCCAGCAGCTGGTAGCAGCTCTGGCCTTCCTGCCTAGGCTTCCTCTACCCCAGCAGCCTGGGGCCTGGGGAGGAAACAGCCCTGTGCTGCTGCAGCCCTGTCCCTCGCTTTAGTCTGACCCCCAGCCTGCTGCCCCTCCTGGCAGGCAGTGAGGACTCTTAACAAGTAATCTTCAGAGGGACTGGAGGCTGGGGGTGGAGCCTCTGAGCAAGCTGAATTTGCACACTGAGGTTGACTGGTGAGAGAGCTACCCTGGCAACCTTTGGTTGTTGAGGAAGGAGAGGAGCATGGGTGTGAGGGCAGGGCATGCGAAGGAAGAGTGGATAAAAATAAAGACAAAATCTGGTCTCCTCCTATGACCATCTATCCATGCCTCCACTTCTCTAAATACACCCCAGTCCATCTTCTTTCCTACTTCAACAGCATGTTCAAATCACACCAAGTGCTTAGTTAGAGGTATACCTTCTGGAGGCCCAAGTAGTGCAAGTAGTTTATGATCACCTGCTAACCTAAAAGTCAGTGACTCAAACTCACCCAGCATCTCCATGGAGAAAGTTCAAGCAAACTGTCTACACAAAGATTCCCACCAACAGAATCCTACACAACGGATCTAGTCTGTAACATGCAGCGCTGCCAGGAGTTGTAGGCCTGTTGGATAATAGCTAATAAGAGCAATGTACCTTTTTAGAGCTCACCATCACTCCAGATTCTGGTTCAGTCCATCTGAACCAGTGAGAAATATGCATTTTCCAAAAGTTCCCCTGGTTAGAAATTATGTGTGAACCATAATGTGTCCTGCACTAAGTCTCTCTGCTTGAGGCCATGCCAGGCAGATGAAAGTGAGGCCCAGAGGGAGGGGACTTCACCATCATTCACACATGTGTGTCCTTCCACAGTCTATGTGTCCACTGTCAATGTCCACTGCTGCTGTCATCAGTTAGAGGAGAAAGGATGGCCAAGGTGAAACCTTGAAAGTCAGAGGCTCCAGGGATTTGATTACACTATGGAGGGAAGCAGTTATAAGGACTTTCTTCTGTAAGCTATTGAGTTCAAGGACATTGAAGGAAAGGTCCTGGACAATACTTAGAGAGCCCATCCTCCTGGAAATGTGATAAAGCAACACTGTGATTGTCCTTTCTCAACCGAGCCCCAGGACAAGGTTAAATGCAGGAAGGGGCTGAGTTCTAACCAGTCCAAACCCAGAGCTGACCCTACATGGTTCACCTAGGAATCTGACTCAGTCACAAATAAATTCCATTCACTTCTAAGAAAATTTCATGAAAGAGCTCCTGCTGACAGAAACATCGCTGTTGTTGGCCAGAAGTCACAAGTGTTAAAAGAATTTCAAACAGGAGCCTGCCATCACCAAATGCTTAATAATCATAGGAGATTTTCTTTGAATGCTAACGATGTGCTGGGTATTGGGTTAGTAGTTTATCTTCTTGAATCCCCATAACAATCCAGTGGAGAAACTAAGGCTTAGAGTCCCTAAGTGTGTCTCAACAAATTTAAATTCTTGATATGAAACTATTGTTCAACCGTCTGGTATTAAACATATCCCTTAAGAAGGCGAAAAAGAGCTGTGGGTCTTGGTGGACAGAAATTCATCTATTTGCTATAATATTAGCCAAACAAGGGCTCAGCCAGGGTGAGTCATAATATGGAAGTACCGGGAAGGGGGTTATTGACATCTTCTCCCCACTGTATCTGAAGGATTGCTCAAACCTTTCCCCATCAATTGCAGTGGCTCAGCACAGCAGTGATTATCACAGCCCTGCCTGCATTAAATATGACCCTCCTGCCTGCCTCTGAAGTTTAGGAGGTCTTACCCAAACAGTACAGGACTAGACAGCATTGTTCCTATTAGGCACCCAGACAGCACAGGACTAAAAGGCATTGTTCCTATTAGGCTGTCTTTTACAACATACAAAATACCCTCAACTTTATCATTTCACTAGTTCCTAACAGCTATGTGACAATAGTAGAAAAAATCTGAATTCTTTCTCCCCAGGCACCTTTGGATGAACTCAAATCTACAACCTTCACATTAGCAGCTATAGATAGGTGTTAACTGTTCCACCCAGGGACTTTACTGACAATTACCAGATCCAAATAGTCTGGGATTACGTGCTGAAAACTCAAGATCAGATTTGCTGGTACCTCTAAATGTATTTTTCATGACACTGAAATGGCTATTTCATTTTTTTAAAAGGATAAGCCTGGATTTTAAAGTGTCTGGCAAAACGTAAGGGGAAGGCAGAGTGTGGGCTCTAAATAATGTAGACTTGTGTTTGAATCCTGCCTCTATCAGTTAGAGTTGTGTGATCTGGGTAACTTACTCAAACTTTCAGAGACTTAAGTTTTCCAGATGTAAAAGGAAAATAATTCTTTAGAAAATATGTGCATAATTATTTAGAAAAGTATTGCATGGTATATAATAAACACTAAATAAATATTACAAAGACCCCAACCCTAACCCATACATCATCCATGGAACTTTGGATAAATTATTTAAGTCAAAATCAGTTTTCTTTTCTGCTACGTTGTGGCAGGATCACATGAGATTATTTGTGTCTAGTGGCAAGAAGCTGTGCTGCAATCCCAAAGAGACAGGGTTTGAATCTACCAGCAGCTCCACAGAAGAAGGATAGGAAATCTTCTCCCATGCAACTAATTGCCTCTGAAAGCCTGCCAGAGGGTCAGCTATGGGTCAGTTTCGACTCGATGGCACACACCAACATAGTATTTGATAAATGGCAACTATTTTTAACATCAGAGTTCCCTGGTGTCATAGTGTATAACTTATTGGGATGCTAACCTGAAGGCCAGCAGTTCTAATTCCCCAGCCTCTTCTTGGGAGGAAGATGGAGAGTCTTCTTCATAAAGATATACAGGCCTAGAAACCTGATGAAAGGTTTCAATGAGTCAGAACTGACTCCACAGCATGGGGCTTTAGTTTCAATCTATTTTTAAACAACCTGACAAGGTAACAGGACCTAGTATAGATAGGAGATAGGTTTATTTTTAACAAACTGATCAGATAACAGATACTGGATAGATTAGGGAGCTCTGGTGGCTTAGTGGTAAAAAAGTGAACACAAAGTTCACGGTTCAAATCCACCAACTACTCCATGGGAGAAAGATAATGTGATTTTACCGCCTCTGATAACCCTCTGGAGGGTCAGCTCTGGGTAGGTTCTGACTCAATGGTACACAACAGCAACTGCAAGATAGATGGGGCAGTGAGGGATCAGAGGAGACAGGCTCTGGTTTAGTCAGAAGTTGTCCATAAATAGAGGGTTAAAACCCCTGTCCAGTTATGCCCTTTCCTATGAGAAGAAAAGGGCAGCCATATCTGAGATGAACCCAACAACACTTATCTCCAGGGTTGACTGAAAACCTGGGATCTTAGCCCGAAGGGAAACAGGGATCCCCTTTGGCCTGGGTCCTGATGCAAAGCGGGGGACAAGGCTTGTAGGATGGAGTTACAGTGTCAGAGGCTTTAGACGAGGTCTGCAGGGGCTGGTATGGGAAAATGAGTCTTGAGGGACAACAGTGGGAGCCTGATCAATCCAGCTGCCATAAGGAACACAGAGCAGGGGAGACTACCAGCGCCACAG